TAACATAAATAAAATTATATGCAATTAAAAAATATAAAAATCAGTTTAAATTTTTTTTTACATGTTAAAATACTATCGAGCACATAGGTCACCTGAGTAAAAAATACCGTGGTCCTTAGACACCTACACTATCTATAATCGGTTAAGAATCAAAATACAAATGAGTGAACCCGTGAGGAATAAAATGGAATGCAAAAGGGCGTCAGGTTCTTGATACTGCACATAATGCAACACAGCGCCATTATTTTTTATTTTACGTTGGTGTTCTGTAAAATACCGAAGTTGTATAAAACTAGCTGTTCCCCGAGACTTCGTCCGCGTGCAATTTATTATAATTTAATGGGTTTTCATTTTTTGTGCGGAACCCTAATTATTTTTCTAAAATAAAAGTAGCAAAATTACTCCTTATAAGATCAGTTATTTGGCAAAGAAAGTTACGTTAAAATCAGTCCAGTTGTTTCGGAGATTAGCTGGAACAAACAGACAGGCAAGTATAGAGTACTTTCATATGCATTTAGTAAAAAGCTGTCACTTTGACATTACAAACAGACATTTCAATTTTATTTATTTGTCGATAAGAGAAATAGTATCATAAAAGATAATCAAAAAAGAATCATAGAAAATGCAGCGGCTAACCCTGCTGCCAAGCATGGTAATTAAGGCAAATAAGTAAAAGTTTTTAGTAGTGGAATTTAATTTATGTGTAAAGAATTAATAACTGAATGATGTGGTGTGGAGAGGTCCTTACCCAATCTAGCCAACCTATTCGTTCTTAATACTATTGTACATCATCATCATCATACGCCCTTCACAAGTCCACTGCGAACAAGGTCCCCCAATATGCCAAAACACGGTCTCCACCTGCATCCATCGACTTCCTGCATATATATATATATATATATATATATATATATATATATATATTGTACATAGGTACCACATCAAATTAAAAAAAAATCGATTAATCGATAAATACAAGAACTTATTTACCATACTTATTTCTATTTTAGATAAATCTCTATATTGAATAAAACTAAATTTACGGATTTTATCGCGTTTATTTCACTACTTTTACTTATTTTTAATTCCCAATGTTTCGGGCGCTTTACAGCAACCATGGTCACGGGGGGGACGCGATAAAATCCGTAAATTTAGTTTTATTCAATGTGTAGTGTTCGCGTAAATTTAAGACATTAAATCTCTATATTATATAAAAATCAATTCCTGTCTGTTAACTCTTGCTAAAACTCAAAAACGGCTCGACAGATTTTGATTAAATTTTTGTGTAGTATTTAAATGGGTCCCTAAATGGTTTAGATTTACATTTGAACGCGGTAGGTGGCGCTGTTGACAAAAACCAGAAATATCCCGCGCGAAGTCGAGGTTAATCGCTAATTGTTGTAAGTATAATCGACATCCGTATTTCCATAGTGAACAGTGTAATGTAGAAGCAAATTATGATCATTAATCTATTTTTATAAAAATAATAATAATATCTTTATTTCGACCAACAAGGATCGTATAACATAAATTGTATTAAGCTATTAAGTGATAACTGATAACAGCCTATTTTTACTAATTTATTTTAATAATAAAAAGTTGAATAAAAATAAAGAAATAAGAGAATAAATAAAAATCTTTCAAATCAACAAATGTTAGGATTGAACAAATGTTAGGATTGTTTATTGGCCATTTGACAGTCAATTCTATTCGAGGACGTCACTAGAATGCAGTTGGAGCTGGCCCGAACCCTACGTACCAGGGATGTACACCGTTTACGTATGATCGCATACAAGCAATCCACTCCATTTTATATTTTCTACGTCTGTCTCTACGTTAAGTTTTGGAAAGAAACGTTAAACTGCATATTATGATTCGTGAAAACACTACTTCTTAGAATAAAGATCTATGAAACTTTAATTTTATATAAAAACTTCAAAATTGTTTTATTTTTAATTTTACTATATAATATCTATCGGCCAAAAATGATGACGAATGGCAATCTGATTCGGATTCAACAAATTAAAGCAAGTTTCTTTCGTCCCCGAGTAAGTTAAATGCGGTACCCGTATACCTTTTTTATCTTTTAAATAATTTCACGCAAATTATTCAATATCGTTATTTCATTACGAAGCCTGCTCCTAACTATCGCCACAAACCACATGAGGGATGTTTGATGTTCTTATCAGGAATATGCTGCTGCCGGCGATGATATGGAGCAGTGCATTCTGTTACGCTACCCCTACACGGCTAAGAAGTGTAGCTAGTGGTGGAAAAATACCTATTATAATCTATCTGTAACAAGAAGTTATAAATTAAAATTCAAACATCTCAGACCCGGAACAGTTATACACACATGTAGGCCATACACACACTTGTTCTGTGCGAGATTTTATCCGGCAGCCTGCAACGTCATACCGAAGGCTCTTAAAACTAGTAGGTACTCGTAAACATATCTCAAAAACTAGTGCTGAGGAATAGCATCGCATTTGCCAGATTGTCGGTTCTACATTCACCATCCTGCGTACTCAGGATACACAAAATAAATATTTCAAGCTATGCGTTTTAAAAAGACATAAGTTAAAACAATAACGGCTATAGTATCATTTTATTAAATTTTCGAAATATATCTCAGTACTTCAAATTGACCTGAAAGATGCTATTTTTTTACAAGTTTATTTTTATACAAGTATAATTGACAAACGAGAACAGAGTCCACTTAACAGTTGGCGAATGCTGTGACCTAAAGACACTTACATATATATCTTCAATTAAGACTCAAAATGGAGATGCGTTGTCACCTCTGAGCAAGAATGAATGCCTTGTAACTGTTTTTGTTAAAAATGGTTATTATTAAAAATGGCCTCCGATTCTCCTTACCCATTTCATTAAACATTATTATGCTGCTGCATTTTACGCTGTTATTCTGTGCGAGCATAGGTTTTCCCTGTACGAGCCGGCCCATTCTTACTGCAGCTGTAATAGCCTACAGCGGCGGCCTACAGTGGCGGTACCAAGTATAAAATCTACGCTCAAATCATACCATCGACATCGAATCGGACAGACTGGTTATCCTTACACTGCGAAGTGGCGGTGTAAAGATATCGATATCCTTCCTTCCTTCCCCAATCTCCCGTGGGTATCGTAAGAGTCGACAGAGGGAAACAGAAACAGCATCTTGTACGCTGCTACTCATCTCCAGTATAACAACTCATATAATTATTCCGGGTCTGAACATTTGTCCTTGTGTAATTTATTTACGTAAACTGCCTCTACGATATCACAGATTTTTTTATAAAGGAAAGAAAAATCTGGTTTCGTGTGGTATTTGAACTCGCATTTCCTCAGTGTCAAAACTAATCACTTAGCCACTGCATACTGCACTAACGAGTCGTCAAAAATATTATTTAATTTTTTTTACTTACCTGCGATGATAACTATATATTTTATTATTTATCATTTATATTAGATATGATATGTGTTAATGCCACAAGTGACTAAAATAAAGTTACAGCCTATATACGTCCCACTGCTGGGCACATGCCTTTCCTCATTACTGAGAGGGTTTTAGGGCAAGGAAGTGTCCGCCGCGCTGCCCCAATGCGTGTTGGCGAACTTCACGTCCTCGAAATATTTTTTTTCTTTTTCCTCAGACAAGCAGGAGTTTCCTCACGATGTTTTCCTTCACCGCCAAGCACGTGGTAAACTTGTTACAAAATCATCGCTAATTGATTTTATTAACCCTAAAGCACTCTACTTTTAACATCTCTTGGACAAAGAGGGTCTCTTTACTCCAAGATAGATGTAGATATTTTTCCTGCATCATCGTCATTATTCATCACTGCAGTCCATCATAATTCTACTGCTGTATGTCAGCTTCCCTCAATTTGAATATAGAACTACCTAAAGCAATTGCTGCATGTTTGTTGCTAAAGTATTTATATTCTTTTGTAAATTACACGATATAGGTACCGTACATTTTATATTGAAATCGTGTAGATATAATAATTTTCAAGTAAAACAAAAAATTGATTACCCATAAACCTTAGTTTTTTGATACTGGTCGTTATTGTTATCATATGATCTTACCAATCATTTTTAAAACATCATAGTGGTCTTAAAAGACTGGTAACAATATTTAAATATTGCACCTGATTTTCAGCTTAGGCTGCGCTGATTTTAATATAGATTCATAAGTTACAGAACAGAACAAACGTCAATCCTTCTCTCTATTTTAGAATTGTAGGGATAAAAAAGTAAAAATAAAACAAATTCTTAAATATTTTAACAAACATTTAATTTTTATACTTTATCAATATATTATTTATAATAATCATAATTTAACTACAAATTAATTATGTAGTGTCTATGTGTCCGTTATTAGACGAAACTAATCCTTGTGGAGGAAAACATAGACGTGGAATATATTCTCTACAATTTAATATTACATCTATCTTAGCATAGACGCCTAAATTGTCTAATAGGTCACGTTTATGTCTGTTTTATTGCACATACCTCTTAAACAAACGACATCATTTCCAAACGCATATCAATTTGAACGTAACGGAGTAGTGCTATCATAAGTATTAATTTAGAAATGCTTTCCTTGATTCCATTCAATCCTATTTAGCTACAGCGTAATAACTAATTTTTAAAAACACAGTAGCGAGACAAATTTATTAGGAACATAACATGATACAAATTCTGTAACAATAATTACAATATTACACTATTTTTAAATAATTTATACACTATAATACAATTGAAAGATAGCAACACAGCTGTATTTCGACCACATATTGTCCGCGATATAAATTATTTAGTTCATATTGTCACTCGGAATTATTTAAAAGCACGAAAAGATTGTAGTCCATCTTCACAGGCAACAATATTATTCTTCATTAAATCTCTCACTTTAAAAGTTATTCTATATTAAATAATACCAGTATAATATAACGTATTCAATCGAGATCTCAAGATTTTTTATCGGTGGGTCATCACTAAGTTGGACTGTGTGGTGGGTGCGGGGTGTGTGGTGGGTGCGGGGGCAGAGGGTGGGGGCTGGCATCACGAAGCGAGTCCGGTGACGAGCCAGGTGATGAGCGACGGGGTGGGTATGGCGAGAAGCGGTGCTGCGACAGTCCCGCAGGAACTCCACCTGGGTATACAGGTCGCGGTAGCTGCAGTCCAGAACCTGACGCGAGATGTTGCTGCGCCAGTAGCTGCGGCGCCAAACAGGCCCATTGGCCCCAAAGCGCCGCCGCTGGCACTCCGTATAGAGGATACGCCGCGCGAAGGAACAGCTGCGAACGAGCAGCTAAAATTGCCTTCTCCTCCAACGTCAAATTATTGTTGTGCTGATCTAAGTCAAAAGGCCGCAGCGGAGACCGTAAGTAATGTTGCTCCGCCAGCATAGACTCCATGGTTTCTCTGAAACGAACAAATATATATGTCAAGACATGGCTTAAATGGAAATCAGTTTTAGGATATTGCGAAGCGAAATAAGTTCGTATCTACCTATGATTAGCGGCGCCGAAGCGCGCGTCATCGAAGATCGACGTTCGTTCGTGCTCTCCCGTGATATAGAATCTCAACAAAGAAACAAATTCAAAATAAAACATCAGCATGCTCTAATATAAAGAATACGAATGTACAAATGATTATTTCATTATGTCGCAGAGTACGCAATGAATTGTTTATAACGTCACGCAAGTCGAACGTTCAAAGAGAAATCTGGAAATTATAAATCAAGTGGACATGAACGTTATGTCGGTCTATGTTAACATCTATCTAGATTCGATTGCCTATGAAGTGGTAGATGGAGATGTAATTGAGTACGCAGAGGCATCAATCAGTGTCGTTTACATTTGTTTCTCATAGCGTGACCAATTAACCATTAGAAATCGTACAAAATTTTGTCCTAAGCGAATACGCTACTACTAATAATTAGACAGGCAATATTAACGTATGAACATAATAAAATATTTAACTTTTTTTAAAACACAAGGGGGAATATGCTGCTCAATGAGATCTTTAACACTAAAAAGAAATTAATAATTTTATTTATTAAATTCCACGTATATCAACATAAATAAAATTGTAGTACACAGGTAATCAGCATCCATTTTTTATTGGTAGTTTGTATATTTGATATTAGCATGAACTGTTTAAGTGTTGTATCTCAAGTACCCTTTTCTAAAGAAATTCAAGAAATTAAGATAGATATGTCCAAAGAGTTATGTGTAAATTTCTTTTCAATAAGTTCAATACCCTTTGCGTTAAATCCGTTCGTATGAACAGGAGCACACAATATAAGGCATTAAAATTAGTGTTCTAAATTTTATCACATATAAACAAGGAAAACGATCATTTGTATAGTGACAACTAAAATTAACGCACTGACCTTTTAATTTTATTTTTTTTAAATATTCTATTAAGTATTAGTTAATTTTTGAAATGGTTATTGCAATTCATATTCATTGTTTATTCCTAATATTATTGGATGCTTACGGTTCACCTGGTTTTATATATACCTTAGTCAATAATATTTAACTTCGTGTACAAAAAAAAAACAACAAAATTATAATGAATATCTACCTCTCGAATTCAGTGAGACGTGAAGAGTCTCGGAATCCCTTTGCAAATGGATTACTGTCGATTTTCAGTTTTGTGATCTGAAACAAAGGATATACGTAATATTATTTTGGTGAAGAGCAGGAATTTAATAAAGGATGAGATTTTGTAGCTAATCATAGTCCTTTTCATTTAAGCTATTTAATATTGTAAAAAGTGAAAGTCGATTTCAGGGCTATTATATTGAGTTAAATTTAAAAGAAGATAGATTTATCAAGTCAAATATTTTCTATTTTAGAACACAACATTTTAAGGGAATTCTCCATTTCGTTTATGCATTTAAAAATATTCAAATGTGAAAAGAATTTAATAGGGCGTAAATGTTTTAAGATGCATTTCATCAAGATTTAAGGCGTGCTAAGCAAATATTTTTACGTAACTAAGCTAAATTAAGTCGATGCACCCATAAAGTACGCAAACTCCTGATTTAAGTGCGGGTCGAGGTGTTAAAAAATGTGTTTGGCAGAGCGGAGGCAAACACGGATGAGAAATCGCCCCCTCGCTGCGTGCGGCGCTCCCGCTGCGGCCGCGCACAATTTGCAAGCAATATTTACGACAAATCTCCAAGAAACCAGTCGTCATTAAAACGGCGGTTACCTAGCATCCGGGCGAAGTGAACTAATTTGTGCTGCTACATTCGCCATAACTTGCAAATAATGTTATCAAAAATTTTACTCCTTTCTGTGGCATGCAGTACTAAAACTACAGGCGGCATTCTTACGCGTGTCAATCTTTCAGCGGTAGACGCAGTCGGCGGCGGTAATTACCTGGCGATTGAGCAGAGCTCCGTTGATCTATTCTACCCACCTACCTACGCTAGAGTTAATTGCGCGGTATTTCGACAAGTTCGCACTAGCCGTGTATTTCAGAACGATGAACCCCACTAACGAACTAGCAATTATGTACAATAGAAATTCTTGAAGTTATTTTGTGAGACGAACACGGGAATCGCTCGATTGAATGAAACTATTTTTGAGCTTCCCTAATCCGTGGATATTTTAATAGAGATTACTGTTGTAGTTTAAGTTGTTTATGCATTCTTTTGATGTGACCGGTCACAGAAGAGCGTTAATTCACGATACGTTTCGATTAGGTAACTCTCAGTATTGTTAAGGATCAAAAGAAACAATAAAAAATTGTGAAATATTAAGCAATTGCTAACAAAACTTTGATTTCATGACTCTTATAACGATTTAAAAATAGTATAAAGGCATTTTAAACGTATAACATATTCTTAGAAAACTAATTTGAAGATTAAAAGAAAATTAATGAATTAGCTGGCCAGTCCTAGCAGGTGTGAGATGAGTCGACATACTCTATGAGACATAATGTAAAATTAACATAGCTAAAGTTGCCTCTGCGTCCTTCGACGAAGCGAGAGCCGGTGTCGAGGGTCAGCCGCGGCGCAGCTACTCAACTTGCACACCCACCTGGCAAATGCCATTGACTACAATGGCCTTACAGCCTTACACTTGTCGTGCCTGAGGTTGACGTAATGAGTGCGCCTAAAATGCTAGTGGTAGCTGACAATATCGACGTATATACATTATTTATGTTTTCCATCAGTCAAAACGAACGTTATTGTTTCGTGTCGTATTTGCATTGTAAGCTCCGTTTAAACTAACAAAACTTTTAATATATCAATTACAATAGCAGCAAATGATATTACAATGACGATGGACGTTTAAAAACATTAAATCTACAACAGTTAGTCACCGATACAACTGGAATAATGAATAGAAAGCTATCCGGCTACCGACGTTTATTAGATTTCGTACAAACATAAGGGTGAGGCGTGTCAAAACAACCTAATTTAAGTATCAACAAACGTTCGCCTTGGGCGGCGGTAGCACTTTCCGTCGCACTGACAACATTAAAGGCGCCATAATGACATTATTCCCGGGCGAGAAACAAAAAAACTTTCACAAAAAGGCGTCAAGGAGAAAGAAACGAGCGTCGCTGTGACGCCGGCGCACGCTTCTGCAAAAGAATCTCTAATTATTGAGTAGTGATATATTGTTTGTGGAAGTTTATACGGCACGTGTACCACACCTCTCGAACCAGAATTTAGAAAGAAACATATCGTATGCAATCTGTTGAATATTGAAGCTTTAAATAATTTACGGATTTTAAGCTGTTCTTATCCAAATTGACAAGAAGCACGAAATAAATATTCAAGTAACAAGTGAACACGTATAAAGGCGTTGGACGATCGGAATACGACAGGAACATTCTGTAGAATAAATAAATGTCACGCTGCGCTGGGCAAGCCGAGCTCACTCCTTTGCCTACCTCTCTCATTGATTGATGTAGGGCAGCGACGAAGAACTAACGACCGAGCGATCTGGGATTATTGAAATATTTTCTTACACATCATACTTATTTTTTGCAATACTGATGATATTCATGCCATCTTTAATAATATTAATAGTGTAAAATAATGGAATGTAAATATTTTAAGAAAACAAATACTAAATCAATCGTTTATTTAAATCAATTACTCTGACAATTTTACATTTCGTTAGTTATTATGATAATAAATTCAGTAACAGCAATTACAGCTTTAATATGCCTCATCTTCATCTAACATGTCTATAAAGTTTAGGCTCTCGCTGATAGTGCCTACGGATATTATAAAATAAACTGTATGCAGATTGTAAACATCTTCCTCAATCAACGAAACTATCCTCATAATTAGTCTACATATCAACATTATACCCGTATAATTTCAGTATTTTTTAAAACCAAATTATTCTTTCTACATTATGTGTCCATTTGGAAATAATATACATACTGTCATTTAAGGATTTAGTTTGAAGCCATTCTGTGATTTGAATCTCTGTTCAAACGAGAGAGTAGATCCATTAAGGAGCCTACTGTCAGTATAAGATCGACTTTACACTCGTGTCCGTAGTTTAGGCTCTGAATTTTAAAGATCAGTGAGTAAGCAATTTGCCACATTTTATTAATGTATCCTTGTTTAGTAAATTAGCATAAAGATGTACAGATAACATGAAAATAAAATGACACCTGTCAAATTTTGGATTCGAAATTTTACAGCAGATAATAAATGAAAGATACAAATAGTAAAAGGGTTTTAATTACAGATCTAATTTATGTGATTGTGCAATAAATCAAACACTTAATATAATTTAATAAAAGTGAACATCTACGGAAATAATTGTAATTTTAAAGTAATACAAACATAGTTTTTTCTGTGTGGCTGGGTGTGCAGACGCAATAAATTCACCCGGGCCGCACACGATGGCTCTGCGTGACGTCACACCTCGCGTGATCGATGGTGAAACAGAAAGAGATCGAGTACCACAGCAACGCTCATCTCTCCGTTCAAGAGCGAGATAAAGAGCAAATAAATAACTTTATGTTAAATTATTTTAAATCTTCTCATAAGCAAGTACGTTGACTTCTTGTATTTTTGACTTATGTTGGTATCGTGTTATCGCGCTTATTATTCATTGAAAAATGAGCATTTGCAATTATATAACGGCATTCGTACTTTTATAATGGCCGTTTAAATTATTTACTTCGAATTTGAATCATGTTGTTCAGTACAACATCATGATTTAAAGCAAACATAAATTTAACTTACAAACTAATTTAGCAGCTGTACGTATTTTTAGAATTTGGTATGAAGAGTGCGGTTTGCAAGATGATGCAGTGACCAGGATTAAGAAACGAATAAGAAATGGTTTGGTCATGTAGAAAGAATGAATGCGGAAAGACTGACAAAGCAAATATATGTTGCAGAAGTGAATGCAAGTGTCGGAAAGGGACGTCCTAGGCGGAAGTTTGTCGACCAAATTGGCGATATACTAAAAATGGGCCATATTAAGAGTACCCTTAACCGACGAGCATGTATGCGTAGGTATATGGATGTGGAAGAGGCGAGAGAGGTATGTCAGGATCGTGCTAAATGGAAGTCTCTGCCTACCCCTCTGGGTGACAGGCGTGAGTGTTTATGTTTATTATGATTTTGCTGGTCATTGATTACCATAGGTACAATATTATCAGTCATGTCAATAGGAAAAGTGAGATGTCTCTGTGAGATGTAATATTAGGTGATAGATTTCTAAACTACTGAAAAAGCTACCTAAATTTATAGCATCATGATGTCTAAAAAACATTCTAGAAGGGAGATGTCGACGTCTTGAAAATAGCATAATTTATAAGAATATAATTTACCTACTAGATTTAACCCACAACATCACATGCGCACAACTTGAACTTGTTGAAAAAGCATGTAGTTCAACTATCGAGCACTATATTGAATTCGTTTTTTTTTTTTGCTATTATTTTGAAAACTATGTACCTAAAATGGTTTTGAAGTAGAAAATCTTAAAAATCGATTTTTTATCAAAATTTTAATAGATAGAGGATAGTTTTATGACTTTTTTTGTGTAAATTTCAAATAAAAGAAGTGTTGTTCGACACATTTTTGTATCCTTTATAGTTTATGAGATGACCATCAAAATCACTTATTTTATCGTTTTATCGATTTTGCAAAGAAAATCTCGATGTTTTCTGGAAAAAATATAGCCCAGATCACTACTGGTATAGCTCTCTATCTGTTTGTGAAGGTTCAATCTGTTCTGAAGATTAGTCAAAATAAACAGACAGGCTTTAATTTTTTCATCTGTATGTAGGTATAAGGATGATGCACAAAACCCTCACAATAAATCAGTTTATATATTTCTTTATTGTTTATTTTATTTTGGTTTTTATGAATACGTTTTATTTTTACACGAAAATAGTCAGGAATGAAGATTTCGAAACTGATAAGGACCCTTAAAGTTCATTTTTCTTAGAGAAATTTGTCAAGACATTATACCATCCATATATATTTTTGTGATATGATTACTTTTGCAATACAGTTCTATTATAATTATATTTCTTTCGTTCAAGATCTTAGCAACGGTTTTATGGAGCCACGTCCCAATTCTCCAGGAAAACTTAGGTACTCTTATTCCGTATGAGTTTTGAAATACATATATCAATTTCGTTATTATGTGGGATTGCTGCT